CCCCCCCCCCGGCAGATGCGAAGGCGAATCAATGTGGCATACCGCCGCCCTCCTCCGCCAGCCTCCAAGCAGCGGTCCAGACCTGGCCCCCTGCTTGGCCAAGGGTGCCGCCCGCCCGCGCGCCTTTTCAGAAATAGCACACGCGCGGCAAAAACTCCGCCCTTGCAGGCAGGTTCCCGCCCATTCTCGCCCTGGCGTGCCCCCCCCCCCCCCCCGCGTGTCCCTGGTCGGACACGTTTCCCCGGTGCCCTGTGGCGCTCTCGCTCTCGCGCTGGAGGGTTTCCGTGTGGACGCACCTGTGGCGCATGCGCGCGGGGGCCAGGTTATCGTGAACCCCGGGCTACACCTGGACTTCCAGATGCCCCGGTTCACGCGGGTTTCCGCAGGCATTCTCCTTTTGTGTGCTCCACCGGGCACGCAGGTTATGTCAACTGGCTACGGGTGCGTGTGCGGCGGGGGGGGGGTCAACGTCGGTGGCCCGGACGACAACCACCTGTGGCCGACAGCAATTAAGCGCGGTTGACGAAACCACGCAACGTCATTATCCAACGGCGTGATCAGACCCTAAACAGACCCACGTTGGCCTCCGAGGCCCGCTGCCCCGGGCGCCGGGGTGTATCACATGGTCTGAATATTGCGAGCATGCAGCCGGATCTATCTCATGGCGCCCGAAGCGATGCCACGGAATTGGGACAAGCGGGGCCTGGGAGCTCCCTTTCTGGTCCACCCCCAGCAGAGGGCGCCGCCGTCGCCGGGTCCAGGCGTGAACTGGCCGAAAGCCAACACACATCCAAGGTCCGCGACAGTGGCCTTGGTCCCCTGTGTCGAGGGCCGCTGCTGAGTGTGGTGCCCTGGTGCCGACAGTTCGAAGCAGGCGCCTTCGATTTTCGGGGCCACCTGTTGTAGAAGATCTCGCCCTTACTCGCGGACACCTGACATCGCCAATGGGCGGTTTGCACAAGACAGGGGGCACCACGCCACAGTCTAGCTTGATTCTTCCACATATCGCATAGTCCCCGCCGGCTACGATACTCCCCTCCTTCTTCGATATGGCCCTTCGGCTGGAGGGTGCCGCCGGGTTGCCGGTCTTCATCGCAGCTGCGTTTTTTTCTCGCCATAAGCCGTTTCGACATCCACCGATGTGCCTCGGTGGCTGGTCATCGAGGCAACTGGTCTGCCTGGGAATTGGTTTGGGTGTGATTGCCGGCAGGTCAATCCATCGCATTTACTTTCTTCCTTGGCCGGGGCGTGGACCTCGGGCGTGGGTTGTCCCTTGTCCTGCCCTGCTCTGGTGGCTGGTGCTGCGCAGGGGGAGCCAGCGACATTTATGCACCTCATCTTCGGTTCCTCAGCGTGGGGACACCCTTCAAGGCACCATGCCCGAGGTGCAGCTCTCCCTGCCACATCGGCGCCTGCCTGCGCGCCGGATCGTCCTTGTGCCGATGCCTGTCCAATGGAGGTGGGGTAGCATGGTGCAGAGGGCTACAGCGAGAGGAAGGTAGCTTTGACATCCAAATATCTTACGACACGGAGGGATGCTGGTGCTTCTTCGTCACAGATGCCCCAAGGTCCATTTGGTGGATACCGCAAAAGGAAAGACCGCACAAAATAGCAACGCCAGCTCCGATGGTCCCTTGTTGGCCGTGGTCGAGCTGAAGAGTGGCGCCTTCGGGAATTGGTCCGGAGATCCTTTGCATCTTTGGGTGTCTCTCTCTCTCTCTCTCTCTCTCTCTCTCTCTCTCTCTCGCCCCCCTCGCTTTCTCCAACCCTCGAAGCGAGCCTCTCTGGGCGGAGCTCGCATACCGGATCGATCTGGGGAAATTTCCGAGAGGACACGCCCGCGTCCCATCCGCCATGACACCTATCTTCTTGAAGCTTTTGGCGAGGCTGACTTCCCCTGCCCATAGACGCGAGGGAGGTCCATTAGCGGGAGTCAGTTCATGCGTTGCTTTGCGCGTGGAGGCTTTCACCTGTTCGCCAACTGCATGCTCGCAGGTCGGGATATCATCGGCGTTGTTTCTTTTTGAGGCCCCATTGCACAGGCAATAGTTCTAGAGGCCGATCGAAATCCTCGAAGGGAGAAGGTTTCCGGGGCTGGCCACTGCAGGCAGCAATTCATGCCAGAGCCCCACAAAAGTGCAGCCAGTGGCATCTCGAAGCCTATCAGAGGTTGCCTGGCCTCTCCAATGTTGTGGAGTTTTTAGATGGGGAAAAAGCAAAACAGCACAACCAGCCAACTCCCCTCAGATCGCCTGCCAGAAGAGAATTCACGGAGGTCACATCACGGCAAGGCTTCTCGGCCACACAGTCGGGGAGGTCCCGCCGAATACCTCTGGCGAGGCGGTCTCCAGCAGCGACGGTAGGATCAAGGCCCGAGAACCTTCTGGGACTGGGCAGGGAATGACACACGTGGCGGCCACCCAGCAAGAGGGCCTCTGTCCGAAGGTATCCTTTGCCGATTCGTCCAAAGCCCACAGGGAGCATGGTCTTGGGCCCATTCCTCCGGGGGATCACAGACGACGCCCACCCTGTCCGCCTGCCGAGTCTTCTGGCACAGTGGCCGCCGTGGTCTCCCTGTCGATGGATTCGAAGCGAGATCCCCTGTGATGATGGGTCCTGTCAACAATCTTGCCTTCCGGGATTCCATCGGCGACTCTTCTCCCCTCCGCAAACCAGGAGGGACAGTGGTAGGCACATGGCGAGGACAAGGTACTCTCTTGAAGTGTACCCTTCTGCGAAAAGCCCCCGCATGAATAGGCGGAGGAGGTGGTGGCGAAGGAGAATGGCATCACTCTCCTTTTGATGCTCGAGCTTTGAGCGACTCGATTCCCGGCTACAAGGGCTTCGGTGATGCCTTTCAACCCAAGCCCCATCCACTTCTCCCCTGAAGGTGGTGGCATATCTCTAAGGCCGCCCGAGAGCGTGATCCCGAGCACCAAAATGCGGTCTTGGGCTCGAAATAGCCGCGGACTGGCACCGAGAAGTGCTCATTGACCAGAATCTACCTATCGAAAACACCTAGACAGCGGTGTTTTCCCAATTGTCTCCCCCCCTCTCTCTCTCTGTCTCCCTCGCTCTCGCGCGAATGCGCCCGCACTCGGCCAACCGTCAGGCTCGACGCATGGGAGCAGCAACATCGTGTGACCCGGGGAGGGTCTATCTATGGGTTTATTATTGTTGGGGAATGGAGGAGTGCCAGGCATGATGTCGCTCCCGAGCCCGGTTTTTTGTTTCGACAAACAGTCGGCCCGGAGACGACACCAGCCAGGCAAACATCCCCATCCACCCCCCTACTGACAGTACTTCTTGTACATAGCCTCGTAGCGCTTCTGATCCGCTGGAGTAACCGACCGGCGGACCTTGGCCAATGAGGCGACAAAGTGCCGCATCTGCAACACCGGCGTATGGGGAACGGCCGGCGGCGCGGGAGCCACATCCTCAGTGGCGACCCCCTCCTCCGCGGCGGTAGCCCCAGCAGATGCACCCTCGGCAGATGCAACATCGCCCTCCAGACGACGAAGAAGACCCGCCAGATGTGGATCATCGGCGGCGATGGACTCCTGCACGGCCAGCATGGCGGCCTCCTGCACCAAAGACGCGAGATCGGCGCCAGTAAAGCCATCGCACAGATCCGCCAGAGCAGACACGCTGACAACCTCGCTCGGGGGCTCGGTTGCCAGGGGAACATTGCGGAGGTGCGTTTGCAGAATGCGCTGGCGTTCCACCGCCGACGGCAGGCCCACATAGATGAGCTTGCCCAGGCGGCCCGGGCGCATGACCGCCGGGTCAATGATGTCCGGGCGATTGGTGGCACCAATGACAAATACCCCGTTTCGCCGATCGACACCGTCCATCTCCGTAAGCAGTTGATTAACGACGCGCTCGGTGGCCGCATTGCCAGAGCCGCCCTCATTGCCAGATCGCGAGGGCGCCAGGGCGTCCAGCTCATCGAAGAAGATGACGCACGGGGCACTGGCGCCGGCCCGCGCAAAGAGGGCACGGACCGCGCGCTCCGACTCGCCGACATACTTGTTCAGCAGCTCCGGCCCCTTGACCGAGATGAAGTTCGCGCGCGACTCGTTGGCCACGGCCTTGGCCACCAGGGTCTTACCACAGCCGGGTGGGCCATAGAGCAGCACGCCACTCGGCGTGGAGCACCGCAGGGCGCGGAACTTCTCCGGGTGCCGAATCGGCGCGATAATGGACATGTGCAGATCGCGACGAACTGCCAGGGAGGGAGGGTAATCGGGGGGTCAGGCCAGGGGTGATAGCCATGCAGGCATGTAAATATATGCCCAAGCCATTCTGTCGGTCTATGCATGCATGCATGCATATATATACATATGTGTGTGCGTGTGTGCAGCAGATGGTGGCGAGGATGGGGAACGTACCGCCCTCCAGCGCACCCACGTCCGACCAGGTGACGTTGGGGATGGTGGCAAAGCCCTCGCGCGTGCTCGATGGCTGGACCAGCTTGCGGGCCACCATGAAGTCGGCCGATGTGATCTGCTCCTGGGACCAGTCGCGCTCACCGGGGACCAGCGGGGCACCGGTCAAAGCTGCGGTGATGGCCTCCTCGATGACGCCATCAATCGGAGCATCCCGGGTATCCGGAGTTTCCGCGATGGTCGAATCGACCACAGGTTCGGCCATCTTGCCCGTGGACGGATCCTCAGCAGCGGCAGCGGCAGCGGCAGCAGCAGCAGCCTCGGTCACAGTGTCGACAGGGGCCGGGGCAGGCGCCGCCTCCTTGCTCACACGGTCGACAATGCGACTGACGGCCGCCTGTACGGCCTCCTTCAGGAGGGCCTGCAAATCGGCCCCCACAAACCCAGGCGTATCCCGGGCCACACAGTCCAGGGCACCGGGCTCAATCGTCATGTTCCGGGCCATGGCGCGGAGGATGCTGTTGCAAGCAGCGAGAGGTTAGCGCGAAGGGCCGAGAAGGCACGATGGAGCTCGGGCATCCCTCTGCCAAATGGGGACGCACCTCTCACGGGCCTCGTCATTCGGGATGCCGACACTAATCTCCCGATCGAAGCGACCCGATCGCCGCAGCGCCGCATCAATCGAGTCCGGCCGGTTGGTAGCACCAATGATACAGACATACTTGCCATTGGACTCCTTCCAATAGCGCTCGACCTCTGCACCAGGTGAAAGCGGTGGGTCAGTACATGTCGGGGTCTCAGCATGTGGGGACGGGGGAGGAGGAGGGGGGGGGAAGCAGGGAGCGGGCGGGTGTGGGGCCATATGCCCGAGGACACCCACACCGGGGGACGGGGCGTACCATCCATGCAAGTGAGCAGCTGGGCGACGATGCGGCGCTCCATCTCACGTGCGGCCTGGTTACGCTTCGGGGCGATGGCATCGATCTCATCGATGAAAACGATGCAGGGTGCCATCCGGCGGGCCTCAGCGAAAAGCGAACGCAGGCGCTGCTCGGACTCACCGGACACGCCGGAAATCATTTCCGGCGCAGAGACCCGGAAAAAGGGCACATCAAACTCCTGAACACGGAGGGGAGCATATTGGGTCAGGGTGGCACTGTGCAGAAAAAAGAGAGAGAGGTCAGAGGGAGGGGCATTCCGAGTGTACGTACGCCGCCAATCGCATGAGCAAGCATGGTCTTACCACAGCCAGGCGGGCCGTGGAGCAGCAGACCACTGGAAAAGGGAGGGGGGGAGGAGCAGGAGCGGGGGCCAGGGGAAGATTCAGTCAGCAGGCGGTCATAGATAGCGCCATGTGCCGGGCACCAGACACGTACGAAGCGGGCGAGCCGCCAAGATGCGCGTAAAGGGAGCCAAAGCGCAGGGGGAACTCGATGAACTCGCGCACGCGCTGAATGTCAATCCACCCCCATCATGATGAGGGGATGGGCCACGGCATAGGTTCGGGGCAAAGGCCCGTTAGATGGGCAGATGGTATTCCGGGCGGGAAGAGGGCAGTGGAAGAGGGAAGTAGGAGCGGGGCGAGGGGATTTCGCGCGGGTAAAGGATGGACGAACCTGGAGGTTTTGATCGATGCCACCGATGTCACTGAACCGGAGGGTGGGGCGCTCTGATAGGAAGCTCATCGGCACCGAGGCCGGGGCTCCGTCGGGCCCGGGGAGGCCGCCCATATCGCGAGCAGAGCCCGTTTGCCCGGGTGCCGGCCGGCGCTTGAGGCGCTTCTTCGGGGTTGGCTGCGCATCATCGCGCGAGGGAGTCCCGTCGGCGGGGGTCGTGCCGGTAGGCTGCTCGGCATCGGGAGCCGCCGTCTCACGGGGACGCTTGGCAGGCTCGCTCGAGCTGGCGGAGTCGGCCAGTGGGGTGTCATCGGCCTCCAAGCTGCTCATGTCCTCCTCTGGGGAGGATGTGTCGGCCGTCAGCTTCCAAGTGAAGAGCGCCGTCACAGGGGTATCCTCCAGGGGGTTCTGGGATCCGTAGACTTCCAGCCTCTCCATGTAGTCAATGGCTATGAGGAGGAGGCGAGGCAGGGAGTTGTCAGCGAGGGAGCATGGTCCGGGGGGCATCTCGTGGTGCGGATGTGGAGGCCATATACAAGTATGTGCATGTATGTGTATGTGTGTGTGTGTGTGTATGTATGTATGTATGTATGTATGTGTGTGTGTGTGTGTGTGTGTGTGCGTGCGTGTGTGGAGTCGTCCATGGGGTCGCACCTTTCCCAAGCTCTTGCATCACGGTGGCCGGGCGGAAGTTCTTGAAAACGTTGAGATCCTTGACGACATGGTCGTACATGCGCTGGGTCGCATCGGCTGGAGCCCGGCGCTGACCATCTGGGGTGTGAATTACCCGCAGGCGGATCAGATCATGCACGTCGGGGCCGAGAGAGGAGATCCGCTTGGCCAGAGTGGAGGCGATCATAGACGGTGGCTTCGGGGGTGCGTCCGAGCCGCTGCTCGGGGAGCCGGTGGCAGGCGTCTGCGACATTGTGCGGGGAGGCGGGGAGGGGAAGGAGTGTCCGCGCGTAGCCAAGTGCAGGTCGGAGGTGTATGTGTGTGTTTTCGGGGGTGGCGAAGAGCGGCAAAGGTGTGTGTGTGTGTGTGTGTGTGTGTGTGCGTGTGGGGGCGGGTGTGTGCTGGGGTGGGGGTGGTGGTGGGGGGGGTGGGGGTGGGGGGGGCGGGGGGGGGGCGAGAGGGGGGGGGGGGGAGAGGGGGGGGGGGGAAGGCTGGCAGCGGACCCCCGGTTCGAGTAGCCAGCCCCCTGTCTGAAAAGGAAAAAGCAACCGACAGGGCAACCAAGGGGACGGAGGCCGGCGAGCGGCATGATCGCCCGAGGATTTCCGGATGCTGGGTCGGGGGACTGGTCAAGAGAACCTCCGGCGCCCTCGGGCGGCGGGAGATTTTTACCCATTACGTCGCGCGTCCCGGGACGGGCGCGGGTGGGGATGGAGTGGGGCTGCATGGCGCAGAGGCTCGTGCACGGACATCACGTTTCGGGGCGTGATCAGAAGGAAGACACGGGAGAGGGGCGGCTGGAATTCGCCCAACCTCCCAGTTCCCACCGGTCCCGCGCATGGGCGAGGGAGAACGCGGCGTTGCCCGGCCGCGGATTACTGGCTGGATGTACGGGCGCGGGTCAGCTTGTAGGTGGGCGGGTGTGGGCTCGGGCGCAGGCATGCATCTATGTGTGGTGTGTGGATTGTTGGGGGGCGTGTGGTTCGATGTGCCGGTGGGCTGGCGCATGCGGCCTTCGTGCCGCTAATGTTTGTTTCCGAAGCCATGGAAGGCGCTGGCCCCGTTCCCCCCTCTACCCCGGGGGGGGGGGGGGGGTCCGGGGTGCGGGGAGAACAGGGGGACCTCGCGCCTCGAGCGGCCGAAAAGCCTCCCTGTTTGGAGTTCGATCATTTCCCCGCCGCGAGCCGGCCGCCTACGCATATATATGTGCGTGTGTGTGTGTGTGTGTGTGTGTATGTTGGTGCATCTTCGTGAGGGTCGTCCCCCCTCTGGCAAGAGGGAGGGAGATCCTCCAGGTGCATTCCAGCCATGGCTGGCAGTCGGGGGGGGAGGGGGGTATGATTCTCCGCCAGGCCTTTCCGGTCGGAAGGTACTCTTATTGCTTCTGCATCATTTCAAGCCCATTTGCACGTCCCCCCCCCCTCCCCTCCCCCAGCGTGGGTTTGGGTGGCGAGGCCCAGCTTTTGTGCTCCAGCCCGGCGGCGGAAGGGCCAAAGAGCCATGTACTCTCGCCCACGTCGTGTCAAAGGAAAGTCGGCTCCCCCAGGCAGGGCCTTTCCGTTGGGGCCCAATCGGCGGGGGCGGGACACGGGCTTCCCCGGCTCACGGCCCCTCAGCCTGGGGCGCGGGGAGGGGGGGGGGGGGGGGGGGCGCAAGCGGCCGCCGATAGAGCCCCGCATTCCCAAAGGGGCCGGAAGACACCCTGGGCGTGACGGCTTCTCCTGGTGTGTTTGTGTCATTCATTTCCGGGATTTTGCCGGCCGCCCGAGGCGCCGCGGGCGTTATTGGGACTCGGCGAGCCCGGGGGGGCCGGGGGGGGCGGGGTGGGGCGCAGCGCGATCGGGGTCGCACCAACTGACGAGAGGCACAGCATCCGCCCGACGAGCCCTGCGTTATTTCCCCCAGCCCCTCCCCGGATCTCCAGCGGGCCACGTTACGCCTGTCTGTAACAGAGGCACCGGTGTGTGGTCTCTCTTTTCCTGGACCGGCCGGCAGGGGGAAGGCCCTGGCCCCGTCCTCCCGCGGGAGGGACTTCCCGGGTACCGTGTTTGTCCCGTCTTCCAGGCACCGGAGCTCCGGTGCTGGGCCCCGGGCAGATATACATGCATTTCTGCCCACACTGCCCATTTCCCACTCCGCACTCACCCCGGCGCGCGCACGCACGCACGCACGCACCTATGTGCACACACACACACACACGCACAGGTACGTCCTCCCGGCGGGTGCCGTCTGTCGTGCTCCACCCACGCACACAATGGCTGGCCAACCACCGGAGTGCTTCAAGCCATTCCCTGGCCGACACCCAGGCGAGCAGGCGCGCCCCTCGGCAGGCGGTTGTCGGAGTCCTCCCCGCGCACCTGGTCCCTTGCTCGCCCCTGTAACGTGCGCACGCCGCCCTCCGGGGGGGGGGGGGGGGGGAGAGAGGGGTTGTTTTCCCCAGCGCCCGTCGATAATCGGGCTGATCGCTTTCCCGGCCCCCAGACCAGGGGTATAGTCGTTTGATGATGGCAGGCCGACCTCACGCTCCCTGGTGCCAGCCACTCCCCCGAGGAGAGGCCAGGCTCTTCTCGACCCGCAGAGCTGGCCTTCCCCCAACCTGGAAATCGCCACCATATTCTCGTGCGATCTGCGCCTCCCCTCTCTCCCTCCGCCCTCCCCCTTCGCCCCTCTTCCCCACCTCTCCCCCCCCCTCCACACACCTCGCCTCGCCTCTCCTCGCCCGCCGCTCCGCTTGCCTCGCCGGCCGATCGTTCGTACCTGCTCGCCTCTTGCCACCTCGCGATCTGCGGAGCATCCTTCTCCTCGCTCCCCAGACGCCACCATGTTCGGGCAGTCGGCCGGTGCCGGCAGCCTCGGCACCCAGTCGATGAAGCTACGCAATACCTTCGGCACGGTGCAAAACCGCGAGACCTATGAAGGCCTGCGCGTGTCCCTTTCCACCGGGTCATACATTCGGGTGCGCCACGGTTCGCCCCTTTCCTCCTCCCCCTACTTGTCCACCAGGCTTGCATATGTCCCCTGCACAAGGCTGACATCCACCTGGCTTTCCATTCTCACCCGTTCCCACTGTCACCATCATCCCGATCGTCGCCATCGCCCTTGCCGTCACCACTTCGTGTCGCCAGTGCAACGATCGCTTCTTTGGTGTTCCCTGGGTGGTTGGCTCCGTGGCCTCCGGCTCGATTACTGGCAACCTGGCTATCTTCCCGATTGGCAAGCATGGCAAGGCCGATCTTGACCGCGGCTTCATTGAGGGTGCGTTGTCATCCCTTTTATCCTCTCCCCCCCCCCTGCCTCCCCCTCGGCCTCTCTGGCATCCACTCATGCATGTGCACGCATCTACGTCACTCCGTTTGATCCCTCCTCAATCCCCCTCCTCTCCACGCATCTAGCTTCCAGCCAGCAGCTCCTGGATTTCGACTTTTACAAGTTCGAGTCGAACATTGTGGCCACCGCCACGCGTGACGGCCTCGTCAAGGTTCGCCCCCCCCCGCCCCATGCCTCTGTTCTCCGTCCCTCCTCTGGAAGGATGTCCATCTCACCCTCCCTCTCTGCTTTAGGTCTTCCGCTTCCCCGAGGACGGTGTCCTCGAGGGGAATGCCACCGTGGCCGACAGCTACCTGGCCGGTCATGAGAAGAAGGTTGATCATGTCCGGTTTCACCCGTCGGCCACGGATCTGCTGCTCAGTGCCTCAAGGTGTGTAGCGCGACGCAGGAGCACGCATCCGCATAGTCTCCAGGCGCCTCCATCTGCTTGCCGCGACGCCTTCCCCCTCTTACCCATACTGACGTCCCCCTCCCCTTCTCCTCCCTCCCTCCCTCCCTCTCCCTCTCTGACGCACACCAGTGACCAAACTGTGCGCCTCTGGGACTTCCGTTCAATGCAGGAGGTTGTGACCCTCAGCGATCCCGAGACAACGGCCCAGGACATTTACTGGTCGCCGCATGGATCGGTCGTCTTGCAGACGGGTCGCGATGGTTCCATCTCCATGTTTGATCCGCGAGCTCAGACCACACCGGTGCTGGTATGTCGCTCTATCTGCCTGTTTATCCGCCGGCCCAGCCCATCTATCCTTCCCTCTTTCGGGATCCTTCTAACCCATCTACCCCCCCCCCCCCCCCCCCCCCCCGCCCCCCAATCATTAGCGCCATGTAATGCAGGACTTTGCCACATCTCGCGCCCTGAGTGCGGCCTTCCTCAACTATGATGGCTACGATCTCGTAGTGTCTGGCTTTGCCTAGTACGTCGCCTGTCTTGCTGCTTGCCCGGTTGCTTGTATTGTTGCCTTCTTTCTTGAGCTTTCTCTCCCTCTGCCCACATGCAGACACACACACACACACACACACACACACACAAATGCTGGCCTGTCTGATGCTGACCACTTTTCCAAAACATACAGCCGGAGCAGTGATCGTCGTCTGGCCCTCTGGGATGCCCGGTCAATGAAGGACGCCTCAGGCTCGACGTCGCTCGGCTCAGGATCCAGCCCCCCCGAGGTGCACATTGACCAGTCCATCCAGGCTCTCTACGTGTCGGCCAAGGTGCGTTCTCGCTCTCTCTCTCTCTCTCTCTCTCTCTCTCTCCCTCTCCCTCCCTCCCTCTCTCTCTCTCTCTCTCTCTCTCTTTCGCTCTCCCTCCCTCCCTCTCTCTCTCTCTCTCTCTTTCGCTCTCCCTCCCTCCCTCTCTCTCTCTCTCTCCCTCTCCCTCCCTCTCCCCCTCTCCCATGCACCCCCCTTGTGCGCACCTGCCTCTGTCCACTTATCCGATGTCTAACCTCTTTGTCGGCACACATGTACCAATAGGGCGAGTCGATTCGTGTGTTCGAGGTTGGCCAGGACCGCGCGACCATTTCCCTGGCGGCGGACCTCCGCACCCAAGATCGCCCGCCGACAGCCATCGCGCTGATGCCCAAGTGGTCCTGTGACACGGGTGCTTGCGAGGTGGCCAAGATCCTCAAGCTTTGTAATGACAACCTCGTGCAGACGGTTTCGATTCGCGTCCCCCGCAAGTCGGCGCCCAAGTACTTCCAGGTGCGTCTTCTCGCCCCCGCCTCTCCATCCAGCTGCTCGCACTGATGCATCCTTCGTGCCCTCTCCCTCGCTCCCTGTGCCTCTCCGTGTCTCCCTTTCGCACTTCATCCCGCTATCGGCCAAACAAACACAGGATGACCTCTACCCTCCGATGATGGGCTCGGCCCCGGTGCAAACCGTGGCCGACTGGCAGGCCGGCTCCAATACGGCACCCATCTTCGTGTCCCTGCGCCCCCCTGGGGCCGTGTCGGTCTTCGACGCCCCCCGGTCCGAGGGCGGCCTCGCGCGTCCCGGGCACATCGACACCGGCGTCGGTCGAGGCATCGGCCCGAACTCCGGCCCAGGGACCGCCGGCGGTCCGGCCACTGCTCCGGCCTTCAGCTCCCTGGATGATGAGCTCTACACCGCCCTGACCGGAAAGATGGATGTCCAGATCGCCGGTGCGGCGGGGGTTGCTCCCACCGGGGCCACTACCCCGGCAGTGGCAGCGGCGACAGCGCCGGCCCCGGCGCCCACCCCGGACCCGGGCGCGCAGCGTGGTTTGCTGGCGTCCATTTTCGGGTGGGGTGCGGCGCCGGCCGCGGCACCGGCGCCTTCCGCCTCCCCGGCCGGCCGGCCGCCCGTCCCGCCGACGACGGCCACCGCGGTCGAGCCCTGTGAGATCCCGGCCGTCGAGCAGTTTGTCCTGTCGCTGGTGGGCTTCCGGCTGGTGTTTGCCGAGCCGCTGAGCGAGGAGGACGCGCGACTGATGGCCGATGCTGGTGGCACGGGAGCCCTGTCCACCGGGGCGATCGCCCTGCCGGATGTTTGCCGCGTGCGCCTGGGCTCCTTCCTGCCTGGCCATCCAGGCCCGGGCCCGACATTCGCCGGCCGGGATCGCCCGACCGCCGGCGAGACCTTCCCCGTCACGGTGGAGGCCGTGGTCGGTGGTGCCGTTGGCAATGGGGCCGGTTCGGCCGCCGCCCACGCCGTGTATATCCTCCACCCGGAAAGCCTGGAGCGGCGGGATCGCATTGTTCGGGCACTGGAAATGCTGACCGGTCTCAAGGCCGAGGAGCCTCCTCCGGCCACCAATGCCGGCAGTCACGGCCGGTCGGAGTCCGCCAACTCCGGGGTGTCGTTCGTCGATGCGGCCGCAGACGAGGCGGATCTGGCAGTCAAGTCCAAGGCCCGCGAGGTGGCCCTCTCGCAGGGGGGCGCGTCTGCTGGAAAGCGCGCTTCCCGGCCGCCGACGCTCTTCATTTCGGCCATCGAGCCGACGGCCACCGTGGTGCCGATGTCGGCCACCGAGTCGAAGGCCCCGACATTGGTGATCCCCACCCCGGCGCCTGGGTCGTCAACCGGGGCCACGACGCCTGGTGGCCTGGCCGCCCTGGCTGCCACTGAGCTGCCCACCCTGCTGACCGGGCAGGCGGAGCTCATGCTGGCCGAAACCGGCGGCCCGTCACTCACCGACCATGGGGACCATTCCAGCGCGGCCGACATCGGCAAGGGGGCCTTTGGTCACGCACCGGCCGGGGGCACTCCCGCCGCCGCCAGCACCAGCTCCTTCGGTGGCGGACTGCTGGCGTGGTTTGGCTTCGGCGGGGCGTCGGCCGCGCCGAGTGCCGCCTCCTCCGGCGCGGCGTCCGCTTCCGGTGCCTCTGCTCGGCGTAAGAACCAGACCCTGGATGGACCGCTGTTCTCGGCCCGGCACTTGATTCTCCAGCCGGGTGTGCTGAGCCTCTTCACGGCCGATTCGGAGGATGGCGCGTCGAGCACCACCAGGGTGAGCGGCGTGCCGGCTGAAACTTTGCGCCTGCACCTGGTCACGTCCATTCGGCTGATCGACTTGGAGGCCAGTTTCGAGGGTCTCCCCCCCCGGGCCACCCTGCTCAATTCTTCGGCCTCCGAGTTGGATCTGCTGGACCCGGTCCTGGCCGAGGCCGAGGAGGATCTGGAACTGATGGAGGAGGAGCCCGGCGCCTTCAAGATCAACACCCCTCTTCGGTCATTGGTCTTCCGTACTCACTCGCAGGAGGATGGTGCGGCCCTCGTCTGTGGGAGGTCTTGGGATGTCCTCTCCCTCGCCCTCCTCTCCTCGCTGGTCGATCGCTGACGATCGATTCCTGACATTGCGCCTCCCCCTTCTATTTGCCTGCCTGTCCACTTTTTCTCTCTGTCCCCCCCCCCTGTCCTCCTTCTTCTATAGCCTTCCGGTGGACAATTGCCCTGCAGCGTGTCGCCTCCTTTGAGATCATGGCCTATCGCAAGGCCTTGGCGCTCAAGCATTCCGATGGAGCGGTCGAGCCCGCCTCGGAGACCAGCGCCGAGGATGAGGAAGAGCAATTGGCCGAGCTGTTTGCCATGCCGGTTGAGGGTATGGCCTCGGTGCACCATGGGTCATGCTGTGATTTGTCCGCCTGTCAGTCTGTCTAACCCCGTGTTCCTCCTTGTTCTGCGCGCCGTCTCCTTCCCTCCGAAAAAAAAAAGGCTACCTTCTGTTCTTGAGCAGTGGCGGTGCCAAGGTGTACCTGGAGGTCATCCAGGGGATGTACTACCTGTCGAGCAGCCACCTCAACCGGCGGTCGTTCATGGTGCTGGACGGTGCGCGAGTTGAGCGCATCGGCCGCCACACCGGCGGCGGGTCCTCAACCGTCAAGCCGGACTGCATCTTCGAGGTGGTCTTCGGTTCTGGGGCCATCATCCGTGGTGATCGCAAGGGCTCGACCGAGAAGACCACCCTGCGTTTCGGCACGCGCAACTCCATCATCTGCAACTGGTGGATCCGCAAGCTGACCCGGTATGCGCTTCCCTGTGCCTTTGTGTCATTTCCTCATGGCTCTTTCTCTTGCCTTGTGCTTTCGCACGTCCCGCTT